TTTTGCATAAACTCGTTTTAATTAGAAAAAAAAATACTTTCTACGAACGAAAAATGACGAGAAATTGTGTTGATTGTAGGTACATCGGCAGCTGGAGGTAGTGGCGGTAGTAGTGCAGCTAGCATAGGTGCTATTGCTGTTCCAAGTAAAGGTAATCGTGATAGCGGTAATGCCACTGCCGTTAATGGTGGTGGTTCTGCTGCTGATAGAGGTGTAGTCAGACACGGAAGTGCTACTAGTTGTGGAAATGGTCGCGGAGGTGCCATTGATCACAGAGAAGCTGGTGGTCGTGGAGGTGCTGCTGGTCATGGAGAAACTGTTGGTCATGGAGAAGCTGTTGATTGTGGAGATGCCGTTAATCATGGAAATGCTTTTAGTCATGAAGGTGCTTTTGATCACGGAGAAGCTATTGTTTGTGGAGAAGCTGTTGTTCATGGAGATGCCGTTGGTCGTGGAGGTGCCATTAATCATGGATGTGCTTTTAGTCATGAAGGTGCTTTTGATCACGGAGAAGCTGTTGTTTGTTGAGAAGCTGTTGTTCATGGAGATGCCGTTGGTCGTGGAGGTGCACTTAGTCATGGAGGTGCGGTTGGTCGTGAAGGTGCTGTTGGTAGTGGAGGTGCTGTTGAAGGCGATGATGGCTGAGAGAAAAAATTTCAATTCATTTTATACTAATAAATCCTAGGAACAAACTTACGGAGAATGTTTTAATATAATACAGGAAGACCAAGAGGTGTTGCTGCTAGGCGAACATGAGGATGCCATCGTCAAAATACTTTCAACGGTAATTTACGGTCATATGCCCAGTTTTTTGGTGAACTTGTATCCACTGATCGTCGAGATGCTTGTAGAAGGCAATGAAATCGAAAAAGTGGGCATCAAGAGCGTCATCAAGACCAAAATAATGGATGTTAAGAAAGTTTAGATAATTCATTTAAAATTTTTTTTTTAACTGTGACTTTTAACACTTACGTCTATTTTTTTTAAAAACTGTAGTAGTTTGTACTTAGAGTATTATATAAAGGAATTTTTTCTGTGATACCACAAACTAGTTGGATATTTGAATTTAAATGTGTACTCACCATAAATACACATTTTTTATAAAAAATTTTGAAAACGTTAATTATTATGTTTATGTTGTTGGTATGCCAAAATCCGTCAATGAAGTTCTGGTTAAATCATTTTATCAGGATTATGATATGTAATGTACGGTCAAATTTTATACACAAGTACGAATTAAATGACTGAACGACACGAAATTACCTACACTTATTTTTTTTGTAACGTAATTATTAGAGTGTAAAAAAATGTGTTATTAAATTAAAAAAAATAATTTACATGGGTGACTTTCATACGTCAAACTTGCCTAGACTTTTACATTTGTCAAAAGGTATTTTTTGTAGGGAAATCACAACTATTCTGGAGAAGAAGTTACTTGAGCAATGTGTTATAAATATTTTAGTGAAAATTTCATAGAAATATATACTATTGTCTTGGAAACAATTTATTTACTTGTAGAGCCGAAGATTGATCTAAAAAAATGATCTATATTCACAATCAGTGTTAGAACACCTTATCACTTTGGTTAGGTCATGTTTCAACAAATTTTGCAATTTAAGTGATTTGTTACATAATTCTCTTAAAAAATCTGCAACATTTTGTTAGGTTTTTGACATAAACTGTTTGCCGGCAAACAGCCTTAATGATGAAACGTCAACATTATTTTTTGACGAATATTGTTTATAAACAGTTTTAACAATATTGTTATGACTATGTTCGGAAATAATTCTACGCACTGTGGAAGAATTAAATAAGCTATGCAAACTAGAATTAACGTAACAGGAAACAAAATCAGTGCTAGGTAAGCCAGTAATACTAGTAGACAGTCTGACTAGTATCGTCTGACATATGAATTATATTACTTTCTGTATCAGCTATTAATGTTTTTTTTTCTACAGCCCATTTGTTCTCATAAACTTTAAGGTTTTAAATTCGTTAACGATCTGGAGGAATGGCAAAATGATCAAGGTCGAGACCATGTTTTGTTCGCAATCTATTATATTCAAGAATAGCTGATATATTTGCAGTACAACATGAAGGATCAAAATTGATGGAATGTAATCCACTTAGTGTAGTAACACAGTAACACGTGATGTCGCTACGTATGTTTGGCCATCACTAAATATACTGTTACCTGCTTCGACTACAGCGTAAGATTAAGCCTTTACTCTTATGTATAGTTATACTGTAACAGTTACAAATCGAGAAATGTTGTCGTGTTATGGATATTTTATCCATAACAATAAATTTATACTTCATCCGAGGTATATCATACTCTTTACTAGATTGTAATTAAATATGTATGCTGATAATGCCATGCAATTTATCTTTTAGTATAGAAACAACTGCACCAATAGTGCCATTAACTAAACCAATGGAAATGTCACTGTTTCTCCTTATCATTATTTTAGAACCAGTTTTAATTGTGATGGTACGATCTACGCCACACAAATTATCAACATTTTCATTTAAAAGTTTTATAATTTTTTTCTGCAAATGTTTCAGACATTGAAACGTATCATTGGCAATAAGATTGATTTCCTTAGAATTAATTTCAAGCATCATGGCTTTATTTAAAATATCACACATTTTTCTTACAGGTAACAAACAAACTGTTTTAATAGGTAATGTGAGCAAATAATTACACAATTCTATGACATTATTCGAATAATCATCGTTTGTTGATTTTAATACTCTTTTTTATAGAGTTTCCGTATCAGAATTTGTCGTAAAACCTAATCAGATACGGGATAAGATTCCAGAATATTGCTTACCACTCTTTTGTCTTATATTTGTAGTGAATTCATCGTATTCAAATAATTCCCATAAATTAAAAGTACACATAGACTTTGTGTACTTATCGACTTACTTTTTGTTCATTTCAACAAACACAAAATCTTCACGAACCGGACGTAGCTGAAGTAAATCTCCGAAAACAAGTACATGTATTTTTTCAAACCATCTGTCCTCAATATCATATTTCTGTCAAACGCAAATGAATCTACGTCAAAGTGACATTAGATATCATTGATATTTCGTCGATTATGATAAGATCAACATTTTCCAAAGTTTGTTTAATTTGTTTTGTTGTAGCTTTGGAAGACTCTTTAAATGCCACTGTACCACCATGTTTCACTGGAAGTGGCAATAATCTGTGGATCGTATGTCCCTTAATGTTATATGCTGCGATTTTGGTAGGAGCTGTTACGGCTGTATCTTTGCCACGGCGTATTTTATTCCAAGTGACTAAATTTTCCATAATATAACTTTTTCCTGTACCTCCAGGACCACTCACAAACATTCGAAAAATTTTATCACAAGATTTGATAGTAGAAGTAATATTATTAAAGACTCGTAGCTCGTCTGCGTTAAAATTCCCAATAAAATTTTGTAATTTTTCATAATTAGTAACTGCAACTTTACCAACAGCTACAAAATCACTCATAGCGTTTTCCACTTAAATACGTACATACCCTTCTGCGATATCTACAGAATTCGTTAGCGTATCTACTTCATTTTTTTCTATTTCATTTTGAACTAACTTATTCATGTTATCCATAGCTTCTTGTATGGTTGCACATTTATAGTGATATTTTATTGCATTTGATAACGAATCTTGGTAATTTCTAAATGCTTGTACGTAAGTTTCTTCAGAAAAATTTTAGTTCATCCGTATCCCTCCAAGTATAAAACAGTAATAAAAGTGAAACGTAGTACTTCTCCGGCTGATCCATTTACACGATATGGATAGTGATTTATCAAATACGGTTTTTTGCGTTCTTTACATTATAAATCTTTTTAAGTTTAGTAATATTAAGTTTTACGTTTTAATTATTTTTTTCGATGTATCAAAGTGCCTGGCAAAGTCATACAAACATAAAGATTCCAATTTTTTCAGCCTGTTAGGATAATGATTGTCAATAAGAGACTCAGAAAATATATCGGTTGATTTTTCTGGAAAGTTTTTAATTTTATTAAATGGCTTCAGTTTATGATAACGTATCATATTAACGTTTAACCATCTAATCACTGTATCACGATCAGTGGCATGTAAAGAATGTCCTAATAGAGTGTCAGCCGCTTCGATTGTTCCACATTCTCTGTGACGTAAAACATGCAAAGAGAACGCCCAAAGCAAACTGTATAATGATTTGTTGGTTTTCATGTCTGAATAATCAAAGTTGTTTTTTTTGCCTTTTATTCCATATTTGCAAATATATTTGGTTAGTAAATAAGATCCCCAATAAATTAAACATCGTTGTAACCTTCCCAAATCAATGGAAGAGCGGACATATAGTCATTGCTAAATTATTCGTCCTTGGCACGGGGTAAATTATAAAATCTACTTTTATTTTTTAATGTATTTTTGTTGGCAATGGCAATTGATACGTCTTTTAAAATAAGTTTATCAGTTATCGGTCGTGGAAATCCAAACCGACAAACGTTTTTGAATGCAGTTTTTGTTTTCTTCTTGTGCATGCAGTAATTATTATGTTTATGTTGTTGGTATGCCAAAATCCGTCAATGAAGTTCTGGTTAAATCATTTTATCAGGATTATGATATGTAATGTATTACATAATAAATTCTTGTACCTTTTCATTAGAACTTTTACCATAAATTGGAGCATCTTAAATCCAAAACAAACAATGATAGTGAGGTAAGCCTCTACCTTGGTATTCACGAACATAATAATAGGGAATCACTTTGCCAAGAGGATTAGAAGGTGATGTTATGTAAGCTAAAACAGCCTTGAACTTATTTTTAAAATATCTTGCTGTTGACACTGGATCTAATGCTATTAACTGACTGATCAAACGATTATTGTTCCAATTATTTACTTTTTTTCTATATTCTCCCAATGTTGACCACATTTATTCTCCAGGGTTGAAAGTTACAAAAAAGAAGCAAATCCATACTCACGCATTATGCTATGTAAATCATTTCAGACTTTTTTCCAAAAAACTTCAGTACCAGGCAAACGATAAAATATTGTGTCTAGATTAGCAACTATTTTTCGGTCATTCAAGATTTATAAAAAATCTTTTACAGTGCGATTGTAATGTGGATCAACAATATTAAGAATGTGAAATATTCCGGAATTTATTTGTCTCGTTGTATTATTTAACAGTAAATAAAAAAGGTATTGATGGTTTAATCTAAACTGTGGATATGGAAATGCCAGTCGACATTTGATAAAATCAAAATCTCTCAATTTTGGGTTTCTTTCAGCATACTGACCCCATTGACCATATGGGTACAAATCTGGGCAGCATTTTAAGTCTAAATCTTTAGCCCTATTATCCATCGCAGTTAAATGAACCTACAACATTTGATATAAGGTAGCGCCAGATTCATTTCTTTTTTTATCATGAAAAGGGTATATGGTATAGTGTTCATAGTATGGATCAGACTGGGATTTTTGAGTTAGCATTGGTTGCATTTTTTCATCAAAAATTTGACCAGCTTT